CTTGAGTGAGCGGAGGAGTAGCGGCTGGCGGATTCGATAAAGGAGGCTTGCGGCAACCACATGTGACGACCCCGGGCTGGACTCCGCTTCGTCCACGGTGAAAGCCGATCCGGCGACCCACAGCCAGAAGTTGAAGTATTTCCTCAGCGACCAGCACAGATCAGCTCTAGGTACGGTTCACTTTTGGGGGGTTTTCCACTGGGTAGAGTACCTGGTACCTGGTACTTTTTTTAGTACCACCTCGGTTGGGTGGTACTATAAAAACTTAAAACTTATTCACTTGGGTGGCCAAGTGAACCGTACCGTTACCAAAATGTAATGTGTAAACTCTGCTGATCACGGATTGGCCGGAGAAAATCATCACTACCTGCGTCATTGAACTTGCGTCATTGAACCTGCGACACAAACACAAAAGAAGCGCTAGATTTAAATCAGCACAGCCAGCGATGGATCGAACGCAACTGTTTTGAACGAGCGCACATTTTTTAACAACCAAAAAGTGTCTGTTCCCCCTGTTGAGTAAGTACAGACGTTCCTCTCGTTGATAGCAGAGGAGCGGCTCCAGCGTAATTGCATCATATGACCCCTTTAATGTTTATATGTGAATGAAAGCATAAATTCAATTTGTTCATCATATAAAGTGATCGAGTCTCTTCAGAAAATTTGGACTAAAAAGTTATGTTCATATGGATTCATTTTAAAATGTCTTTATGAACATTTCGAAGCGTCAAAGTGGTAGTTACTGTCAATGGAGGGACAGAAATCTCTCAGATGTAATTAAAAAAAACTTAATTTGTGTTCTGAAGATGAACGAAAGTCTTACGGATTTAGAATGACGTGAGGGAGAGTAAATGATGACAAAATTAAACATTTTGGGGTTGAACTTGCGTCATTGAACCTGCGACACAAACACAAAAGAAGCGCTAGATTTAAATCAGCACAGCCAGCGATGGATCGAACGCAACTGTTTTGAACGAGCGCACATTTTTTAACAACCAAAAAGTGTCTGTTCCCCCTGTTGAGTAAGTACAGACGTTCCTCTCGTTGATAGCAGAGGAGCGGCTCCAGCGAGAGCTTGATGGGGCGACGCGGAATGAAAAAGTTGTTTAGGAATCGCGGCAGTAGAGGTGGTCAACTATAACGACATGTGAATAATCCCGCCCACTCTTAAGTGGTACTGAACTGCAGTGGAAACGCAAACCGAGCCATGCCATACTGAGCCGAGTCGTACCACGCAGTGGAAAACTACTAATAGAGAGGGCTAGGTTGTGACCTATACTGCAGCCAGCCACCAGAAGCCGGTCGAAATGTTTTGGCTTCACTTTTCAGGACGTGTGTGACACACTTGGTAGCGCACGAGAATGAACCTCACTGGTTCATCAAGCAAACATGCTTGATCTTCTGTTTGCCATAGCTTATGTGTGCGTTGATTAAAGGGGTCATATGATGTTGCTAAAAAGAACATTATTTTGTGTATTTGGTGTACATTTTGGGGTGAAATATCCCTTTAAGAATGTAAATATGGTCCATTTTGATTTCAGGTGGACTTCAAAATGAATTACGCTTCCACTGCGTGGCTCTTTTATAATGACTGTTGAATGCTCAGGTGTTCTGGTTCCCACCTGCTCCAGGTCCACCGGGACACCCAGGCCGGCCAGGTGCAGGGTAGCGAGCAGAAGAGAGGAGTGCTGGTGACCCCAGCAGGAGGACACCTGAAGCTGCTGAATAATAGTGGACAGGAGATCCAGACCGCCAGCAGATTCCTCTGCTTTAGCTATTGTCTTTACCGCATCCTGGTAAATCACTCGGCTTAGACGTAGCAAATGTCTGCTGCTGTTGCCCAGACCTGAGGAACAGAGGAACTTTTCCACCAAAATCATCATAGCTCACATTATAGAGGACCACATTAAACCACTGCTACCTGTTATGAGCTCCTGGTGTTCTTCTAGAAGCCTCAGGGTGAGGCTGAATCTTCTTTGCTGGTCCCACGACCAAGTTTGTGTGCATTTCCTACGATCAAACTTCCTCTTAATGTCTCCATAAAAACACTCACAAACATCTGATGACCAAAAACACAAAGTCTTTAGGAACTGTTCACCCAAAATTAAAACGGTGTCATTGTTTACATTTTGTACATTTTGAAGAGCCAACACTCTCAAATGTCATTTAAGCTGCTACTCTAGCATACCAAGTTTGTTGCCATTAATAACAAACTCTTTAATAAGAGCTTCAAAAAATGTTGTGTTCCACAGCAAAAAAGATACTGGTTTGAGCAACATAGGTTTTTATTATTATTTTAGAATGTTCTAGACGTGGCTGAACTATTCCTTTATATATGCTAGAGTTTTTTCTTGAAGTGAGGTCATATGATGGAATGCGCCCTGACTGGCTTACCTGTGTCAGACAGCATAATGAGAGGACTTCCGTAGTTCCTGTATTCATTGACATGCCTGATTATTCCACACACAGACTGGTTGCACCAGCTCAGCAAGTACAGCCACACTGACAGCGACACACTGCAGAGAGCAGATGATTGGAGCTTCAAACATGACGGGCCAACACCCTCTTTAGATTCAACATCACATCATCAGGACGGCAAGCACATATGAAGTGCTTATAGTGAGCACAGTAATGTTAGTTATGTTATCTCATATTGCATCTAAAAGACTACAACAGGAATTTGAGATTTCCGTTAAAAAACCGCAGTGTTAGAGATAATGTAGAGGTTCTAAAACTAGCCCAGTATTAAGGTGTTCTGAGTGGTTTCTAGGGTGTTGCTAGGCATTATGGTTGATAGGGCCCACAATGCCTAGCAATGTTTTAATTACAGTTGTCAGGCTGTAGTTAAGAGTCAGTTAAACATTTAGTGTGATTGTAAGGGTGTTGCCAGAGTTGTTTCTATAGCATTATAGGGTGTTGCTAATGTACTCTGCGTGATGACTAGGGTGTTGCTAAGGTATTCTGAGTTACAACTAGGGTGTTGCTAAGGTATTCAGAGTGACTACTAGGGTGTTGCTAAGGTATCCCAAATGACGAATAGGGTGTTGCTTAGGTTTTCTGAGTGACATCTAGGGTGTTGCTAAGGTATTCCGAGTGACGAATAGAGTGTTGCTTAGGTTTTCTGATTGACGTCTAAGGTGTTGCTAAGGTGTTCCGAGTGACGAATAGGGTGTTGCTTAGGTTTTCTGAGTGACATCTAGGGTGTTTCTCATGTATTCCGAGTGACGATTAGGGTGTTGCTAAGAGGTTGCTAAGGTGTTCTCAGTGCATTCTAGAGCGTTGCTAGGCTGCATATTCTGGGTGACTCTACTGTAGGGGTGTTGCCAGGTTGTTACTAAGGTGTTGTAAGTTGATGATATAACATTGCTAGGGTATTGCTAAGGTATTCTGAGTGATGACTAGGGTGTTATTAGGGTGTTCAGAGTGGTCTCTAGAGCATTGCAAGGGTGTTGCTAATGAATTCTGGGTGATGAGTAGGGTGTTATGATTGAGGGTTGCTATGATTCTCAGTATATTCTAGGGCTGTTGTTAAAATATTCTGGCTGATTGTAGGGGTGTTGTTGCTAAGGTATACTGAGAGATGCCTAGTGTGTTCTGTGTGGTCCCTAGGTGCATTGCTAGGGAGTTACTAAGATGTTCTGAATAGTGGCTATAGGCAATTGTGGTTGCTTAATTGTTGTTAAGCAGTTGGTGTTTTCAGTGCATTCTAGGGAATTACTAGGCTGTAATTAAAATATTCTGAATGATTGTAGGGGTGTTACCAGGTTGTTGCTAACGTCTTATGGGTTGTTTCTATGACATTGTTAGGGTGTTGCTAAGGCATTTTAAGTGAGGGTGTTGCGTTCAGGGTGGTTTCTAGGGCATTGATCATTGCTAGAGTGTTGCTAAGGTGTTCTTAGTGATCACAAAGGCGTTTCTAGGGTGTTGCCAAGATGTTCTGAGTGGCCGCGAGAGTTTCCGGGTGGATGCCAGGCTGGCAATAGGCACTTTTCTAGATGGTACATTTTTAAAGAGTTAAGTTTCAGAAATGCCATAGCAACCATCTAGATCACCCTTTGTATGTGCTTTATATGTATTTAATGAATATCTAACTTAATTTAATGAACTTTTTTTCAAACAGCATAGTAATTGTTATCAAGTAGCATTGAGAAATTTGAATGAAGCTTCTTGACAGCAAGTCTGACCTTGGCTGTTTGAGAGCGAGGGTGCGTCTCCTTTCTAGATCTCTATTTCTGAAGGAGGAAAACGTATGTATGATACCAAACCTCTCACCGGTACTTGCAAATGGAAAAGTCAGGATATCCACAATGTCTGGAAAGGCACAAATGACCAAATAAAAGTTTAGAAATATAATCTGCCATTGCTGCACCTGGTAAATCAAGACAGTACAGTATCTTCAAACAACCTAAACTAGTTCTCTCATTTATGCTCAACATCATGTCATTTGTTTGTTTGTCTGTTTTGTGTTGTTGTTTTTTCTCCAGTGAAACACAAACAGCACAATGACAGTTCGTAGTGACCATGTGGTCTGTCAAGCTCTATAAATAAAGTCCATATTCAACTTTATGTGGGGAGCAAATTATTATTTTTTTTTTATCTTTCCCTCCACTGTAGCTCAAATCTTGTTCTCCATCTTATTTATGTAAACTGGTATATCATGTTTGGTTACAACGTGCATGAGAACCAATGGTGATTCAGCATTGGTGATGATAAACCTGGTGTGAGGCATTTTGGAATCTGAACATGCTTGTGAATTAGATTTTCAGTGAGTAATGACTTTTTGTGTTCCATGTGAGGAAAAAAACAACATATGACATGAGGGTGAGTAAATCATTAAATAATTTGTTAACTATTTTCTTTTGGTCAGTTAGGTATGCACCTGACTCATGTGGACACCTTCTCACGGTATCTTTGGTCAGCTGCCACATCAGCCACGCGCCCCATGAGACCGATCTAGTCTGTGGACATGCTGGGCGTTCAGAGAGTGGTAGTGTCCTCAAAGACGTAGAAGTTCTCACAAGAGACTGGTCATATCCTTTAGCATGGCTGCCACCAATTTCCTCTTCCACCAGATGAATCATCCAGGCCTTCAGCACCACATCACATGTCTCCAGTGGCCGCCTGACAAAAAAGTCTCTACGGTACAACACAGCTGGAGGAAACACCAGAGGAACCGTTCTTGATCTGGGTTTTCCAAATCTCTTATGGTTAGTCCAGGTCCTTCTGTAGGCTGTCGTTGTTGGGGCTGAAATAACAATTTCGACCCCGATTCGACAGGCAGCAGAGCAGTTATACTGCACCTGTACACTACATTTGTCCATCACTCTGTCGGGAGCATGTCCAAAGCGCACGAAGTCTCCATGAGGAGTCCTTTCAGCATCAGGAGACTCACACCAAACCTTCAGAGAGATAGACCCACACTTCAATCTCCAGATTACAAAATATGTTATTGCTGAATTTTGTGTTTTTTATACAG